GAACTCAGTCCAGCAAAACTGCTCAGACAAAAACCACGTTCACCATACTAATGCATCAGCGGTCCGCAGTCAAACAAATGGAGGCTGGGGCTGGAGAGACATGTCTGTCGTCCAGCCTGCCTGGAGACAGCTGACCTCAGTGTGGATACGGATCCGCATGGTGGCTTCCTCCGATATGTGGGACGTGTTCCTGGTGCGTCTTCTAATGGCTGTATCCATAATGCTGTACTACAGCAACTTCTCCTTAGCCATGGAGGAGCGTTTTCAGCTCAAACCAAAGGTGACGGGCTATTTGATCAGCTACAGCAGTATGTTGGGGGCCCTTGCTGGCTGTTTGGTGGGACCCGTCACACACCTTTATGGCAACAACATGTCTGCTTTATTGTTACACTCTACTGCACTCACCTGCACGTTGATCTTCCTGTATGCCACGGCACCCAACGTCTGGCAGGTCCTGCTCACTTCCACGTTCTTTGCCATCTCTACCACTATCGGACGCACTTGCATCACTGACTTAGAGCTGCAGCGTGGGGGAGCCCAAGCTAGCGGGACGTTAATCGGAGCGGGACAGTCGGTCACAGCTGTGGGACGGGTCCTAGCGCCACTGCTGTCTGGTCTGGCTCAAGAAGTCAGCCCCTGTGGACCTCCTAGTTTGGGGGTTGTGCTGGGACTGGTAGCTGTGGGTTTGCTATTCGTGAGGACTCCTAAGTGGGACAGCAAGACAAAGGTTAAAGACAAGAGTCCCAAACAATGAGGTGAAAACCACTCAAAGTGACAGAAAGATGAAAGATTGTGACGGCAGCTGTCTTTTTTCCTCTCAGGTGATGTGATGAATTTTTGGGAGAATGTGGGAGTTTGGATCCTTTTACCAGCTAATAAATGTCTCAACGTCAATGTGAGACGCCCATTGGTATGCCTGCTTCCTGTGACGTCATGGTGAAAGAGAGCAAGTGCCTGTGCATATGCAGATTTGACCGAGTCTGACGTTTATATCAGAACATTTTGCTGTTTAGTGGTTCAACACCAGTGGCAAAACTAGCACCAGAAGTGGGACATTCATTGTTGAAAGATTTTATTTGTTACATAAAAGTGTTTTATGTGTTGATTTTATGTTTCCTGGCCAAATTTCTGACTATAAGTCATATAGACAAGAAAGGTAAGGCTGATATGCTTCCAAGAAAACTGTTTAACATTTTGGGCAGGAGAAATGTAACTTTGTGATTGAGTTTTACCTCACTGTGGCATTGATACTCATTTAACCACTATTTATCATCGGTGCACTTCATAATACTCACTTCCTTCTGTGTTTTTAAATTAAAAGTAATACGGTTGTTGCCCCAAAGGCTAGCAATGATGTTTTTAATAAAACTGAACAAAAAACTTGAGTATAGGACACATACACTACTGTTCAAAATTAACTGTGGGGTCAGTAAGATTTTTTTATTTATTATTTTGAAATCATATATTTCTATTTAGCAAGGATGCATTAAATTGATCAGAAGTGACAGTAAAGACATTTAAAAAGTTACAAAAGATTTGTTTTAAATAAATGCTATTTTTTTCCACAAAAATATTAAGCAACACAACTGTTTTCAACATTTATAATAATAAATGTTTATTGAACAGCAAATGAAAATTATTCCTGGAGGATCATGTGACACTGAAGACTGGAGTAATTATGCTGAATATTCAGCTTTGCATTACAGGAATAAATCACATTTTAAAATATATTCAAATAAAAAACAATTATTTTAAAGGGGTCATCCGATGCAACATGCACTTTTACAAGTAGTTTGAACTGAAATGTGTGTTGGCAGTGTGTGTATAATGATAATTATATAATATAATGATAAAAATCCACCCAGTGTTTTTTTTTTTTTAAATCTACTAAAATAATTTCCCCTTATTCAAATCAAGCCGATCTCACATGCCTGTCTGTGTGACGTCACACAGACAGGCCCCTCCCACGATTATTTGATTGACAGTAGCGTTTCAGCAGACTGGACCGGTGTCTGACCTTAGACCAGGGTTCCTCAAATCTTGCCCTGGAGGGCCAATGCGCTGCAGAGTTTTGCTCCAACCCTGATCAAACTCACCTACCTGTGATTTTCTAATGATCCTGAAGACATTGATTAGCATGCTCAGGTGTATTTGATTACGGTTAGAGCTAAACATCTGAGCCGCTGAACTCGCAGTGGATTACTTTTGTTTCTGAAGGGAATGTAGTACATAAAAATATTAAGATATCTACATAAATGCGTTTATGTTATGTTCGCACCTACAGAAGAAGTGAGTGTAAGGTTTTTTTAATGAGTTAGGGTTAGGGTTCATTTGCAAATCGGTTAGGGTTTGCAGATCGCCTTTCCTAATAATGTGCTAATTAGCAAGTTTCTAGTCTTTAAGATGAACTTTAATCCTGTTGCACCATAACTTTAAACTCAGATTTAAATATCAATTATGGATTAACTTTAAACTTAACCCTTGAATGCATACCTCAGGTCTTTAGAGACCCGGGACATCATTCTCTACCCTCTCCTGCCTTCATTTTTTTTAGTTAGACATCAACTTTCTTAGTATTCCTCAATCTATTAATTATAAACAATATAACAAGAAAAAAATAGTAAAATATAAAAT